TGGAGAGAAAATGTTTTGAGAAATGATGTACAAATGCGCTTTACACAATTGATGTGTGTATGGATTGGGATAACAGTTGTATGAGCTCCTACTAAAATGTTAAAAAAAAAAAAAAGAATATATTCTCTCTGTCTCTCTTGTTCATAGCTTCATGAAAGAAATGAGCACCCTAAACTTTGTCTTTTTATTCTTTTTTTCCTTCAATTGCACAATCACTCCATAGGACCCTCTCAGTTGGGGATGGCCCCACGCTAATAAAGCAGGATTAAGGTAGGATGCACTCAATATACCCCCTTCTTCAAATTAACCTTTTATTTGAGAAGAGAAAAAAGGAAGAAGGCAGCGGAGAAGGAACCTGACTTAAAAAAAAAACCCTCACTCCAAATGAGTTGATGCCAACTCACAGTGACCCAATAGGACAGGATAGAACAGTCCCTGTGAGTTGCTGAGATTGTAACTCTTAAGGGGAGTAGAAAACCCTATCTTCCTCAGAAGAGCTGTTGGTTTCAAACTGCTGACCTTACAGTTAGCAGCCCAATGCATAACCACTTCTTTGGTCCCAGGATTCATGCACTGAGAACCTCTCAGGCCCAGGAGGCAGAGAGGGAGTTGTGAAGAATGGCAATAAAACAAAAACCAGAGAATGGAGTGGGAAAGCTGGGCACCTGCAGGTAGAAGACTTACTGGTGGAATGAAGTGCCTCCAGGCACTTACTGCTGGTGCACTAGTGCTTTTAACATTTTTCCAAGCAAGGAAAAGGTTAGGCCAAGAGGCTGAGGGATAAAAGGTCACAGTACTGCCTACAAGCGTGTCTGAGAAAATGCTGTTTTGGCCAAATAACAGCATCTTGATGTGTTCCTGATCTGATCTGTTGTAACCTGTTACTTCCCTAACAAACCTCAGAATTGTGAACACTGTCTGAATTTTATGTAGCAAAAGTGCAACAAAGTATCAATCTTAGCAGAATGGAGTGTAACCTGAAAAGGATGGCAGGTGTCAGTCAGAGAGAGGAAATATGTCTGACCTCTGTCTCACAGGAATCACCCTTTAGCTCTTGATGGTGACTCTCCTCTCTTGTTAACGTATAGGTCAGATGCCCCTGCCACACCATTTTTACAATTTCAACTTGCTTTCTGTCCCAAACTGATTTCTCCATCTGGATAGAAAATATAACAGTCACTTTGGAGCTTCCTTTAAAAACTACTGCAAAGATGGAAGGTGACACAGATGAGGCCCTTCGGGAGTAGATTCACACAGTGAGCTTTTTCCTCTCTCAATTCTGCATTGTCCAAAATTGTAATGAGGCTTCAAATGAGTAGTTGTTCAACACAGGAGCATCACAGTGTATTCTGGGGTACTGTCCAAGAGAAGCTGATTAAAACTCACGTGTCCATTTTAATTCACTGAGGAAATATTTGTGAATAAAGTTAAAAAATCCTCCTTTGAGGCAGGTTAAGATATATTTAAATCTTAAAGCAGAGCCCCCCTTCGTCTTGCATTTTTGATACCTTTGTATTATAATTGAAACTTCAAACAACTGTGATTACTGTAACACATGAAATTGGAAGAAATACGGATAGTGTGACTCTGCCCTAAATTAAAAAAGAAACTACACAGAGGCTATACTCATCACTTTAAAATTGTAGCTCTCTTAATCCAAAAGCACATATGAACAGCCTTCAAAAGTTCATGGAAAAATTGAATGAAAAATAATGGTTGTTTTTTTTTGTGGTGATGATTATATAATTCTTTTTTAATTTAATTTTTTTTTTTACATTTGGTTAAATAATGGTATTTTTACAAGAACTTTTTAACCCTCTTCTCCCCCTTCCCTGTTTTTTTTAACTATAGGGAATTTTTAAAATATAAGGAAAAGTGTCATTCATGAGATGTGTGTACTGACTTGTCTTTAATACCACTACTGATACAACTTTCTGAGCTTCCTAATGTTTACAATGGTAGGAATCACAGTATCTTCTTTATCTGCCTAGAGGGTAGCTACACAGAATTAAATGAGATCACGTATGAAAAACTGAATAAGTTAAAATGTAACACTGATATGTGAGTACCTTTTGAAGCAGCAGGGCTCACGGAGTTCCTGACAAAGGCCCAAGCCTCATCTTCAGTAGCAAACTTCTTAAATCTCGCAGCAGGAAACCGGTCCACCTGTGTTCTACATTCATTCCTGTAACAAGACATGTTATTTCCTTCCTTCAGCTTTCTTTACTTAGCCCATTTTTAATTATTTCTCAAAGTGACAATCACTTAAAAAAGGATAAGGCTGTCAATTCTTTGAAAACAATGGCTCACATCTTATTGTGCATCAGTTTATTTTTCATATCCGGTTATATCTTGTGTCATGTTACGTACCAGTTGTACAACATGTCAGCACCATATGCCTCCTCAAACCTGAGACATACAAAAACTTTGGAAATTTAAAACAAATGTAAAAATAACTTCACTACTCAAAAAAGCCAGCTATCAAGATGCTGCCTCCTCAATGTGACAGCTGATTTGTATAAAGATCCAGGACCACTGAGTCCTTTGCAACTCATAGCAATCCCCTAGGACAGAAAAGAACTGCTTGGCAGCCTCATCTTTCTCCTGCCAAGCAACTGGTGGCTTTAATCTGCTGACCTATGGTTAGCAGCGCAACACCTAACCCACTGTACCAGCATGCATGAACACAAATACACACACTGATAATAAACCTTGATATCATATATTAAGAGTCCAGGTCTTGTAAGTAACAACAACAAAAAACCCTGGAGAACACATGCCGCATTTGTGACTTACTAGCCTTGTGAACTTCCAGATCATGGTAACCACACCTGAAAAATAATAAAAGTCATACCTATTTCAAGGATTACTACAGGAATCCAATGGCAAACACTAGTTTATGATTTTTCCTTTAAAATCACAAGGAAGATTAGGTATTATCTGAGTCCTATCTCCATGTTATTTGGCATGAAAAAATGGTAATGCTGGTTGAGGCTTATGATTTATGTATTGAAAAGGAAGAATTAGTAAACTATAGGTCATTTCCGATATTCCAACAAAATTAAAATCCGTCAGTCTCCCACTGATGGTTGGCAGGAGCCGAAACCTGAGCCGCGCACATTCCGGATTTCCAATTTCCAGTGTCACTGAGAAAAAGGGATCCTCCCTAAAAACCAGGGTACAAATGCTAGCACGTGTGCTTTCCACCGCCTCTACAGCTAAACCCTATCACGTGGCATCCCGGTAAGCAAAGCTTATCAACAAAAAAGTATCCACATCAGCTTCCTTGGCTCCTGGTACTCAGGAGAGATGGACGGATGAGCCTGAAGGCGGTGGCAGCTTCGGTAAGCAGGTCACTCACCAGGTATGAAACACCCCGGTCTTGCGGCCCCTTCTCACTGCGTAGAACATTCCGAAATCCCCGCAGCCGCAGCGACTGTACCTCACAGTGGCCCACGCAACTCTATGAGCAAGAGAGAAGAGCCTGGTCATTCCTCACTCCCATGAAGGTAGAATCATTTTGGAGTCTATACTCGCAACCCAACCACCTGAAAATCACATATAAACTTCCGGCGGCGGCGCAGACCGATGACGTGTTCCACCGCGGACGGGTCGGCTAGAAAGCGGAAGCGGGAGTGCCGGGACCAGAGGCGGAGTCACGTGGGGGCGGGGCCAGGAGCGAGGCCGGCACGGAAATGGGCGGGGTCTGAGGCCAGAAGAAGGCTGGGGAGGAAAGCGATTGGATGCTGGGCGGACAGGGCCTACGTCTGGAAACCCTGGGTAAGGCGGGGCTTCTGGCGGGGCAAGAGCTGGGTGACGCGGGTCTGTGTCTAGAAGGGCGGAGCTTACGGCTCAGGTCTTTTGGAGGACAGAGCTTCGTCTAGAGAAGTTCCGTCTTATTTATAGGTACTGAGGCGCCTCTTCATTCTCGTTGTTTTGTGATAGCCGTTTGAAGACTGCTTTTTCCCCATCGTTCTCCCGTCTAGTTCTCAACATGGCTGCACATATGTCTTAACTAATACACTGCTCCCTCAACTGAAGAACAGCTGAGGCGAATCTTTGGGAGGGGAGCCTGGCAATATATATTTTTAAACTACATTATGCTTATGTTAAGGACAGAACCGTTGAGAAGTCTCTCCACCTAAACCTAAGACCTAGATTAGGCGCTTATTTTTCTTTAACGCTGTAGGCTAACTGGACGGAGTATTTGAGCTCTGGCTGAAAAGTATGTAGAATAGCTGAAAGATAAGAATCTAATACTTTGGGCCACTTGGAGAACTTGGGGCCATTCACCATGGAAACATTTAAAAATTTTTCCTTGCAGGGCAGTACTTTACGTAATATAGCTCTTCTAGCCAGTCTCTAACGTACCATAGGTGGAGTAAAATGGTGGGAGAAGTACAGGAGGCCCTGATCCAAGGAATGCATGGTGATCTCTAGAAACTGGAAAGGGCAAGAACGTGGGTTACTTGCAGTGGTTCGCAACCTCCCTAATGCCGCAACCTATTAATACAGTTCTTTATGTTGTGGTGATCCCAAAACCACATAATTATTTTCGTTGCTACTTCATAACTGTAATTTTGCTACTATCATGAATTGGGCGACTCCTGTGAAAGGGGCCGCGACCCACAGATTGAGACCAGCTGCAAGCCTCCAGAAAGGAATGAAGTCCTCTAACTGCTTGATCACAGCCCAGACAGAGAACTCATGTTGGATTTCAAAACTACAGAACTGTAAGATCATAAAGTTAATTCATTTTGAGCTAAAAAAAAGAAACTGGGGGAAGAGACTGATAAAATTTATCTGTGAGTAAATTATAAACAGGATTATGTGGAATGCCATCTTGCTATGTGTAAAATGAGCCCTCTGAGAAGCAAGAGGAGAGCTCTCATTACCAGCAAGAGCCAGGAGTGGAACCTGTCCTCTGGACCCAAGGTTCCTGTGTAGGGACTGCCTGGATCCAGAAGACAGCTATACCATCAGAGGGGCAGCAGTGGAACCTGGAGCCAGAGCATGCACAAAGTGATGGATTTTCCCAACCCACCGAACAGTGGTTCTCAGCCTGTGGGTCGTGACCCCTTTTGGGGTTGAAGGACCCTTTCACAGGGATTGCTTTGCTTACCGGGATGCCTCTGAGCACCCTACTTGGGGAAGTTGGACTTGCTAACCCACGAAGTGCAGCTGAGTGCCTTCAGGCTGAGGCTTATTGGAGTGAGGTGCCTCTGGACTCATAATTCACGGAGCTGGGTTTGCTGACCTTGGGTTGAGACTTACAGCAGAGTGGTATGATCCTTTGAGCATTTATTAGCAGACCTGAAACTTTGTAATATGTGTGGGACAAGGAGGGTCCCCAGCAAATCATCACAGGTCCGGTAGGTGCAATTGTACAGAGATAATAAGTAAAGATTATAGTAAAGTCATAGAGAGCGTGAGAGGTAGAGGAGAGATTGGAATAATGGAGTCAGACACAATTCATGGTAGCACGCTCACCTCAGCCCCACTTGGGGGGTCCTCGTGGGGAGGAGCCCAGCCATGAGAGCAGGAGAGAGCCCCCACTTTATTGCTAACCAAGGGTTATATCTCCTTCAGGGGGCATGATTACAGTAACTACACGTCACAGGAAGGGGCAGTACAATAGGCATACAATTCATAGGAAGGGAATGTATGATAGGCATAAGCGTGACTAGGGGTATACATGTGACAAGATGGATGGGCCATAGATTCATGATGGTGGCCTAACCTTGGTCACCCTTGGGTGGGCTTGACCTCTCTGAGGTCTCCTACAAGGAAACAGACCAGAAGCAACAAAGCCCACATGGAAGAACATATCAGCCTGTGTGATCACGAGGTGTCGAAGGGATCACTGAAGACAAATGGGTGCATAAGCAAATGTGGGAAAGAAAGCTGATGGTGCCCAGCTATCAAAAAGTATAGCGTCTGG